AAGATCTTGTCATAAAGTCGTTCTTTTTTATACGCCCACATCTCTATATGTGGATGTATATTGTCGGCACCCCTGTCTGTCGGTCCGTCTGTCAACATTTGCTTGTAAACGCTCTAAAAACTAGATTTTTTGATGTAATCAAATGAAATTCGGTATGTGTATACATATTCATAAAACGAAGATCAATTTCGAATTTGAGCTATTTTCGACCGTTAGAAGCAGAGTTATTGCCCTTGCCCCAAAATCTTGAATATTTACCATCTGCATGCAGTGGTGGGCGTATATGGCTGTGGTCCACTATCTTTGCTTCAGGCAATGCCATGCAGTGTGTAATGAGGGTAAGTCTTATTCTCTTAGATTTCCAACCTTTAAGGACTATTTTTAACAGCATTACTGACTCTTCTTGGGACAATTTTATGAGAGAGTCAGTCACCTATTGTGCCATAACATCATATTCTGTTCTTGGACTAGGTCACTAAGAACACCCAATAGTATATCAGTCATTTTATCTCATATACTCTATAGAGGTATTGATCCTAAATACCCTACATACTTCAACAACTAATAGTAACTCTAGTGTTTACTGTACTGCAGTTTGTTTGTTGATGTTTACTATCAGATAGTACTTCAAAGTGATTTATATCTTTAGAGGTAGACTTCAGTCCAGACTTGAACCACTAAACTACAGTTAGACAGTGTACTTACAATACTTTTAACTTGTCTTTTCTTACAGAAATTTTATCAAAACTTGATCACACTTAATTGATTAACCTTTTATCAAAATGAAAATCATGTGTCACCATGGATATTTGTTATATCTGTCCCTTATATGATTTTTACCTGTTTTTAAAAGTAAAACACAGTAAAAATATGTAATAGTTTTGACCACACGTCACCAAAAAAATCATTTTATCTTATGTCTTATTTTAACATGTCAGCTTTCATACAATTGGTAGAAATGAATCACAAGAGTTTTTCTCTTGTTTGTGACAGGGCTCCAACATCTCATGATTTCTTGCTTATTTCAGTCTGAGAGATTAAATTATACACTAGTAACAAAGCTATCTTGATAAAGTTATCCGTAACTAGGCTAGTAGTAATAAGAGAGAGCGAGGGTGGGGTTAAATTGTTACTATTATTATAGTTATTGATGTAGAGAATGAAATATCTAGTAACAGATGGCGCTGTGGGTTCAAATCTTATCTAATAAGCTTGAATTAAAGGTCATTTATTATTGGCTAATGTTATTTATAATTTAGTATTTTTGTCTTGGTGTCAGTTTTGACATTTTTCATCTTTTATTTCAACTGACATAAGTTGACTTGATGTAATTGTATATATACAGTAATTAAGTTAGGTAATATGAATGAAAATGAAAAATACTGTTATTTTCGAGTTTTGGATAAGAAAAATAATTTATTCATAATAGAAGTAACATGGTAAAAATGAAGAGAAAAATATCTAAAAATCCCTTAGAATTATGGTTGAATTAGTTAAAAAGTCCTATTTTTAGTGGATTTTCTAATTCAGTCCAAGTTTTAGCTGGTTTTTACGTTGTTTAAAATAAGTTTGTGTAAGTTTATGTTGAGTAAGTCAAGTATTTAAAATAGAATCTAACATGAAACAACAGAATCTACTACTTCCATCTGTTGAGATAATGTCAAAACTTGACCTAGTTATACTGGTAACTTAGACTTGTGGTTTTCTCTTGTTAAATATTGATAAACTTGATATAAACTTTACATACACTAATTACTTACTGGGCTGTATTTTGTATATTCTTTGAGGAACGAGCTGACATGACTTTATATCAATTGAAATATTTATACAAGCACCAGTTTGGGCAAAGCAATGCCATGCTGTGGGGAATGAGGGAAAGCAGAATAACTTGACCTTTGACATGCAGTGGAAGTGGATTTAAAAGAGAAAGTGGATGCAAAATATAAAGTTACTAGCCCAAACTTATGGTAGGA